AGAGCTGCAGCCACAGAATGTGCGAAAATAAAGCAAATCTTAAGGATCTATGAAGTGGAATCGGGTCAGAAGATTAATCTCCAGAAGTATGAAATTAGCTTCTCCCCGAGCGTGGAAAAGGAGAAGGCAGTCAAGTTGGGAAAAATTCTTGGGATGAGAAGAGTGGAAGAACACGCAAAATACTTGGGGCTCCCTACAAAAATCGGTAGACGGAAGAAGGCAGCTTTTAGGGTGTTAGTTGACTGAGTCAGAAAGAAAGTTAAACATTGGAAAAGTCAGACACTCTCAATAGCAGCCAAGGAAGTACTAATTAAATCAGTAGCCCAATCACAAGCTACTTATACTATGTCTGTGTTTCGTGTGCCAGATGGGGTGCTAGATGAGATCGGAAGAGTGATATCGACTTTCTGGTGGGGGCAAAAGGGAGAGGAGAAACGGATCCCATGAAAAGCATGGAAGAAATTGTGCAAACCCAAAGAAGAAGGGGGCATTGGATTCAGAGACCTAAGGGGCTTCAACTTAGCTCTGCTGGGGAAACAAATCTGGAATCTTATGAACAATCCAGATTCTCTAGTTGTGAGGGTTCCGAAGGCCAAATACTACCCAAATTCTGATATACTAGAGGCTACTATTGGAAACAATCCGAGTTATACCTGGCGCAGCTTGATGGCTGCCCAGGACTTAGTCAAACGGGGATTAAGGTGGGGACTTGGCAATGGATCCAACATAAACATATGGGATGATAAATGGATCTCAGGAGCTGAGGAGGAGGATTTTAGGGTGACTTCACCGAGACTGGATCTAGATGAGGGTAACCAGGTGCGGGATTTGATTGACCATGGTACCAGAATGTGGAAACGACCCCTACTTCAACATTTTTTCAATGTCACTTATCAAGCTCGAATTGAAGGCATCCCCATCCCTAGAGAACCAGCGGCTGATAGGCGAATATGGAGTTGGGAGAAGTCTGGTGTCTACACAGTTAAGTCAGCCTACAGATTCTGGAATAGGAAGGCCAACAACGAGGAGGTTGGCGATGAGTTTGAGGAACTGACAGGGGAACTCTACGACCCGATGAACTGGAAACGCTTGTGGGGCTTAAATATTCGCCCAAAGGTGAAAACTTTCCTTTGGCGATTCACCCATGACATATTGCCGACAGGGAAGAACATTGAAGGAACGAAGAAGGAAGCCTCAGTCGAATGCCCTTATTGCAATCAGGTTGACACGCAAAATCACATATTTAGGGAGTGTTCTTGGTCGACAAGGATCTGGAGATCCACTGAATACAAACCACTGTTTGAATCAGGGGAAGGCTTATCGAGTGGCATCTGGCTTTGCGAAATAATGGAGAAAGTCGTTGACGATGTGCTAAGTAGGATGGGAATGATCCTATGGAAGCTATGGAGCGAAAGGAACAATCACTTGTTTAACAATCACAAATTGGAAGATTGGGAGATTGTTCCCCGCGCCCTGGATCTATGGGAAGAGTTCCAATCACATAGAGAGAGGGAGGAAGGAGCTAGCGGGGGTGAGCGGATTACCTGGGTGCCGTCGCGGGAGGGATGGTACAAAGTGAATGTGGACGCCGCTGTGCTGGCGAATGAGGGCGCCGGTTTGGGTGTGGTGGTAAGGAATGCCGGGGGCGATTTCGTCATGGCGGCTGTGACCAGAAGGAGGAATCAATGGACACCAGAGCTGGCAGAGGCCAAAGCAATCCTCTTCGGTCTTCTTACCGCCATTCACCATCAATTCCTCCCAGTAATCGTTGAGACGGATTGCCAGGGGCTATTCTCACAGCTTGGAAATGAGGATCGGAGACTTACAGAGGTGGGGTTGATTGTGGATGAGATCGAGGAGGTGGCAGCGGAGATGGGAGAAGACAAGGTAAGATGGGCTTTTACTAGGAGGAAAGCCAACTCTGCGGCCCACTTAATGACCCATACTTTCTGTAACTGGGAAGCCCAAGAAGAGTGGGTGACCAGACCTCATCCTTTTCTTCTTTCAACTTTAGAAAAGGACTCTAATGGCAACACTACAAATTAAATAAAGCACAGGTTGATTATTAAAAAAAATAGAAGAGAGTAGCTAAATGTCGCCCTAATTTAAAAATGATAATTACCTCTTTATCCCTTTTTATTATTAAAATATTTTAATTGTAACAAACAACATTAAACAATAAAAAAAATTATCATCGGAAATTCCACCCCTGCGTTCCCGGGAAGAACTGAAGAAGGGCGAACTCAACCCCCCCAACAAAACTGAACGACCCAATTTCAATATGCCCTTCCGTATGCCTCTGCGGATCATTTTTAATGGACACAGAAAATTATCCACCAAGGACTCCTCGTTAGTCGTTACCCACCAAAGACAACGCCTCCATCGTTGCCAACGGAACCGCCGTACTGCGAGAGAGCTTTCCCGGCGGTGAGTTCTGCGATAACATATTAACATGTTATGCCGGACATTCCCAAATCCCAAAGACATTATTATTTGATCCATCTCAATCTCCGTGTTCCAAGAAAGCAATGACGACAATTTTCATTCTCAAAGACATGATTATTGGTTCCAACCAGTACTTATTCGGTTATTCCAACCGCCAGCCACTAAATAAAACATCACTACTGATTTTGGCCATGAACCCCGGGGCGGCCACTGAGGCAGAGGGAAGGAAATGATATAATGAAGGCAGGATTTCTATGGCGGTGGATTGGGTAGCGGTGGCTGCTGGCTGGGGTAGGACGTCGACAGTTTTGAAGGAAGGACTCCGCGGCGGCGGATTGGGTGGTCGTGGATGGGGGCGAAGGTTTGAAGATTATATTAGGATGAGTTTGATTTTTTTTTTAAATCTTTTTGTCTCGTAGAATTATGTAATTTTCATTTTTAAATTAGGGCGATAACAGTAAACTTAGGGCGAGGTTTAGCCATTCAGTAATAGAATAGGTAATTGTGTCTAACTAGTTTAAAATGAAGTCTAACTAGTTGAAAAAAATCTAAAATATGATAAATATAAATATATATTGTAAGAAATTGAAATAGAATGACCAAGAATGAGGTGATTCGGGGTAGGGTGGGTCAGAAGTAGTGTCGGTACTTTTTTAGCCGCAGTATTTGGTGTATTTAAACAACTGGTGTTGATTAATAATAACTACTTAACCCAAATTGGATGAGCATATTCTAATTGGTTCAACCTGTAATTTATTCAAACTTGTTATTATACATATTTTATATCATTTCAGGAAAATTCAATAATCAATTTGTTTATTTTCCTTACGATTTCCCCCTAATTTTATCGAAAGCAAAAGAAGCAAATTTTCTGGTATCCGACCACTTTCATCATCTTCTTCCGTTGATCGCCCGAAAGTGACTGTCATCTAGGGGTGGACAATGGACCGATTGGGTGGATTTTTGTCTCAAATTGACCCAGGGGCGCCAGGATTTCGAGACCGGGGGGCCGAAAATGATTAAACAAAACGTATGTAGCCATGCTAGATCGAACCCATGTGCTTTAAAACACAAGTCAAGCTTGTCTACCATTAGACTACATGACTATTACACACAAAAAATTACGGAACAAGTTCTACTTATAAAATTCGTACTAAATATCCTTACGATCCTAAGGGTCGGGACCAATCCCAGGGTGGCCGGGGCCCATCCTACCTTAAGTGTAGCTCCGCCCCTGAATTGACCCACCCACTTATTGGCGAGTTAGAATAATTGTGATCCGCAATCCACCCACATTTTTCTGCGGGTCAGGTTGGGTGGGTGGCGGATGGGTGTGGTTGGGTCGTGAGTTAACACGCAAAAGAAATTCTCCAACTAGTCATTAAGAAAATTGACTAACATTTTATAATAAGTTCATAACAAATTAGTAAGACTATATCAATTTATACACTTCTCACTTTGTCTCAAATGAATTTATGTAGTATTTGCATAAAAAAATTTACTTCTCTATCAACTAATTGTATGGAGAAAACTTACGTTGTCAGATGTCTAATGGCAGAGAGTCTTCCTTCACAGAGGAAGGAGAAAGAAAAGTTGCCGCATATTATTTTCATTGTTCTCAAACTCAAACTAATACCAGAAACCAAAGAGTCGATCATTTTCCCCTAAATTTTAGGGGTGTCCGAACCTAAGTCTGTCGCTGCACCTGGTGGAGAGACGTTCCCTAAACCCTCCATGTGACGTGTCAATTCCAACTCCATGTTTAAAACAATGGATCAAGTTGTATTTAGTGATGACAACATAACCCGAACTCATGGGTACTCCCACCCGACCCAATTCAGTCAAAGTAGATAAAATTCGCATTGATGGATTATGGATCGGGTTCGAGTTTAAACCCGTCATCGTTTTGCGAGTTGGGTTGGACTCGAATTTAGCTATATCCAACCCGTACTCGTCCCCAACCACAAATCCCTTACCCACTTCCCATTCGGTCATTCTCCCATACTAATTCCTAACCCTAATTCCAAAAAGAAAAGAAACCTCCCCTCACCCCTACAACCACTCAACCTCGATGCCACCATTAATGATGACCGGGATCCAGATTCTGCTTCATGTGTTACCGGTATATTTAATATTCTGAGCAATATATTTCTTCCTTAAGAAACTAATCTTCCTTATGTTTGTGGATACATGTCTAATTTGCTCTTCCTAATTGTGTAGAATGAAGTTGATATTATGGAGTGGAGAGTGAAGAAAGCTTAGTGGACAAGGAGGAAAAAACTTTCAATTAATCATGTTGTTTACAAATGTTTATCTTTAATGTTGAACAATTTATATGGATACTTTGTAGTTTGACTGTATGCTCTAGATTGGTCTTTTTATATAGATAATATGTATGGGAATACTCTAGATTGGTCTTTTTTATAGATAATATGTATGAGAATAATGATATTATACTTTTATTTTGACATGAAATTGTTATTGTACATTTTTTTACTATGGGCACCTAAACCAAGCAAATGCGTTCAACTTGCTCAAATTGCATGAATAATGGAGGTAATTTCATATGCATTTACATGAATTAGTCATATGAAGAGAGATCTTTAGTCGACGTTTACAACGACATTGCAGTTTGACGATGCGTATGGAATCCAAAGGGGAGTACTATCAGTGGCTTCACAGGAAGCATTCAGCGAGTGGGCGAATCTAGAACATGCTTAGGACTCTGCATTAGAAGAGAAACTCGAGAACCATTCACCACAAATTACAACCTAAATGGAAAACAGAACAAAGCTGCGTCTATCACATTATGCACAGCCAATCAACTTCTGAAAATTAGTACTGGTTGAGGTGAGCTCTAGAGGGAAGTTGAGATTTAACAGTTAAAAAAGGATTTGGTGCACTGAGACCTCCTTCCTTCTTGCTGGTCTAATCCGAGTTATAGCTCTTTCCTCCAACTAAACTAACACCACACTTCTGTGCTTGCTGGTGCTTAGGGGATGTCATCGATTTAGGCACCATTCATGGCAGAGGGAGTCTTAGCAGCATCCTCGTATGCAGCGTCATGCACTCCAATGGCAGCACGGCCAGATGGGTCGAGATTCTTGGACCAAGCTGCATCCCATTCTACTGCTGTTGCTGTGCTGCAAGCCACACTTGGACCTCCAGGTACAGTTGCCCTTGCAGCATTCTGCTCAGGAGTCACAACCATGGTTTGTCACAATCGAGATTGTTAGATTTAATTGACGACCAATTTTATTGCAACATTGGACAGGGTTTTCCTCTCTAGAATAAGAAACCAGTAAGATACGAAGTTCTAGATCAGAATTTTAGAAACATTTTGTCAAAGCAAATAGTAACGGAACAAGGATGGATGTGTACCTTTGGAAAGAACTTCTCGAATATAGTCCTGTAGTAGTATGCTTCTTTCGTAGTAGGAGTGTTTTCAGGATAGACAAAACTTGCATTCACCAACATTGCATCTGTAACCTGCCCAATTACAACACCAAGATTGCCGTCGTGTTGGTGAACAAAGTCAAGGAAATTAAAAAGTCCAGAGACAGTTTTATCACAAAATGCAGAGACAATTCGTCATAAACTCATGATAATTCTTGTTACTGGTATACGTACTTGATTGTTTGCATGATCCTTTAAGCCATCAATCCAGCTATAACCAACTCCATCGCTGAACTGTTCTTTCTGCCTGTACAGTATGTGCTAAAAACAAAGGCCAGTCAACAGAGATTTCAAAAATCAACAATGGCAGGACAAGAGCACCAACAAACAAATATTTTTTTGTCAAACCTTTGGCAGGTAAGGGTTCTTCTCATCATCAAATGCATTACGCAGTATCCACTTCTCAATCCTTCCAATGTTAGGTCGGATCTGCAATGCATTAATAAAAGGAACTAAGAAATACATTAACGTCATATTTCCCGCACCTTAATATACAGCATATGAGAACTATGTTAGCTATGGAAAATGACTCTGTTAGGGGAAAGCTTTACAAAAGGCCCAGTGCTAGTAAATCTTAAAATTATAGATGATATAAGCTCCACTGAACTGGCAAAAATATGTGATTAAATGGAAAATTGAGAATGTTGTATAGATTTTTTTATATATAAAAAGAATGTTGTATATATTTAACATCAATGGGTCAACAACAAATGGCCTTACCATCTTCCATTCTGGATCTATGCTCATTGCAACATTTATGAACTCTTTATCCAAGAAGGGTACCCGAGCTTCAAGACCCCATGCTGAAGTTGACTTGTTGGCCCTCAAGCAGTCATAAAGATGCAGAGCTTTTATCTGTGCACGACAATTTACAAAATATTATTGAGGAAAGAGGTAGAAGGCAGTTAAGATATTTGGTAATGAGAAACCTCTACGCAAATGTTTTGGACTTGAGCCCTAAAATAAAAAACAATAGAAATATTACCTTACGACACGTCTCTTTGTGAAGCTCTTCCTTGTTGGGTGCCTTGTGGAAATACAAGTAGCCTCCAAATATCTCATCTGAGCCTTCACCAGAAAGTACCATCTTCACTCCTAGAGACTTGATTTTTCGAGACATAAGGAACATTGGCGTGCTTGCTCTAATAGTGGTCACATCATATGTTTCAATGTGGTAAATGACTTCCTCGAGGGCGTCTATCCCTTCCTGATGAAGAGAAAGACAAAAAGGACATTATGCTTGAAACAACGGCATCATACAGTACAGTCTCATCTTGAATTTTCAAGGGAGAAGATAGAAATTACCTGAACAGTAAAATGGAACTCATGGTGACGAGTATGGAGATAATCAGCTACCTCTCTAGCAGCTCTCAGGTCAGGGGAACCCTAAACATAAGGAAAGAACAACAAAATCAGATCAGCAAGTAACTAGTCTGTTGAAACCAAACTTGACTTCAGAATTGAATACAAGAAATCCTTCTCCCTATATGCACTGGCTATATCTTTCACCTAAACTTCTTGATTCAGATTCTTTTAGACATAAAAAAGATGGCATATTCGAAACAAGAAAGAACCATGCAAGTCATCATTACCAATGCCAGGTCATATTGTAACAAAATCTAGAAATCAGTAAGCTTGTATGCTTTGTGCAAGGATGCCTGGACCAAAACAAAAAACAAGCTTCACCATCTTGTGCCAATGACATTGACACTTGAAAAACAATTAAGATACTGATTAATGATAAATTACTCCATTAGGGATCAGGTCTTAAGCGTAGAAAGGTCAATTGACAAAAAATTGGCTGAAATGCACTGTGATAAATAACTACTCTCTATTCAACGAAAAAAAATAATAATAAATAACTACTCTGTGTCAAGTTAAATATAATCACCTTCAAACCAACGCAAAAGGTGTGCAATTGTGTTCCCCACTGGCAAGCAGCTGCTAATTCAGCCATCTTTCGAGAAGCCACAGCAGCAACAAGTGAAGAATCCAATCCTCCAGAGAGAAGTACACCAAATGGTACATCCGTCATAAGCCGTTTGGTCACCGCCTAGAAAGTTCAAGAGGCAAAGCATGTTGACATACCAAGTAAGCACAGTTAAGAAAGAGCTCAGTAGGGATATTTTATGAAGATCTCAATTGACTTTTTTACGACGAGGTTGACAGGAACTAGATTGCTTTTAAGATGAATCTAGAACTTGCCTTCTCAAAGGCCTCCCGTAAATATAGTGGATCATATGGGGTCGAAGGTACTTCTTCCGTATACCATGGTGGGTTGTACCACCTTCTAAGACTTCCTGATAGCATTCAAACAAAACAAAAAACAGTTGCTGGTACCATTATCGAATGGGAAAGCACAAAAGAAGCATTTTCTCCACTTGCATGCACATTGAATCTCCGCCCTCTAGCATAGATACTGCATCCATAGTAAGGATGCCTGTTGCCCCCCAAGTCTTTCCATCAGTTATTAGTATTGAATTTGATGCTCCACAGTGCACTTGTTCGATACTTACCAGACATCAATATAATTCAGCTACAGTATATCACAAAAACATACCGAGAATGGCACCAACCTAGTGCAGGAGACAAGAAATTATCGTGTTTTTCGTTTGCTAAGAAAATTTCAGCTTTGTGTAGATAATGTAAGCATTCTAAAGCTTCCAATCCAAGGAACAAACCTTCCTTGCTCGAATAAATATGCCCTGGCAGGAAAGACACAAATCGCTCACAGTCATCACTCAGGGCTTTCATTTCTGAAGCAAACCACACCGATCCTGAAACATTATTTGTGATGGCTTAGAACAGAAACATGAACCCTTAGGTAAAGGAGAGAATAATGCAAATTCTATTTCCTCTGACTCGTTGTCCCAAGTTGGAGGTAGGCTAATTAAGCCAATGTCAACATTTAAAAAAGAAAAAACATAAAATCTTACCATCAAGGCCCCAACCCATATAAAGTGGTGTAATACCAATTGCATCACGAGCTGCAATGAAAGTTTTGTTACGTGTATCAAGAAGAACAAAGGAAAACATCCCATCCAACATGTGCACAAAATCTTCTCCATACTCTTCATACTGTAAAGAGAAATGGAAAAAGTTAATCAACTGTAGACAAGAGAAGCAAAAAGTGGTGAGAACACGTTCAGCCACATGCTATAGGTAAGAGAGCTCCAACTGGGGACAACAAAGGGGGGGAACATTAGCAGTGAAATTTCTTCCTTGACAAACCAATAACAGTAATAAAGTTATATCCTTTAAAATAAGCAAGAAAGAATCTCAAGATCTAATAGAGTGCAAAATCCAATGCAAGATATCTGGTTTGCATTAGTCACCACAACCAAAACCGTACTCAGCAAAGCAGCAAGCGCATCAAACATAAGCTACTTACAAAGAATGTAGCAACACAAGGAACTTACTAGATGCGCAATCACTTCACAGTCACTGCCAGTCCGGAACTGATGGGAAGTCAATTTTTCCCGCAGCTCCTTGTGGTTGTATATCTCCCCATTAACCTTAAAGTCAAGTTCGAAATCATAAGATAAGCAGAAGTTCAAATTGTTCCACCAACAGCGAAATTTACCTGCATAACTCCGGCTATTTCGATTTGAAGGCAAGTTCACAGCATGTTAACCACGATGTCGGTCATACATTCAAATCGCCATTAACAAATGACTCTAATCGCAAAAATAAATTACTCTTGGTCAGTTTCAACTATCACGTCCTGCTCTATCCTGTCACTCTATGCTTTTGTCGCTTTTGCTTTCAAAACTTAATGAATGATACTGCTTCAAAGGGTTCATATCCCCACAGAAAGAATACAATATACTTACTGTGACGACAACAGTCTTGTCTTCGTTGTAAAGTGGCTGATCCCCTGAAGCAGGGTCTATAATGGCCAACCGCTGATGAGCCAGATAGCAATCATCATAGCAGTGCAGCCCACTCCAATCAGGACCCCTGTGCCTCAACCTACGATTAACCGGAAAAGTAAATAACAAATCAATCGCAGCTAAGAACTCCGGCGAAATACAAAACGACAAAAGACGACTTGGAAGAAGCCGGAAATGGGTACATGCAAGTTCAGACGGAAACAGAAAAATGCAAACACCCAATGGCGAACGCGAAGCACTGGAAGTATTATGCAGAAGACAATGAAGGCAGCAATCCGCAATAGCACCATCGAATTTGAAATTAGCAAAATGGTGGAGAATAGATGGGTGATTTGGGTTTCACCTCCGGGAGAGCTCGATGATGCGGGAGCGTTTGGCTTGGGAGTTGTCTACGCAACCGAAGACTGCAAGGATTCCACACATGGCGGCGATAGTCTTTTCTTCTTGCTCTGTTAAATGTCAGCTGAGCAGTGTGGAGGAGCGAGCCAGCGGCACGCACAGAGAGCGCCAGAAATAGAGTGGAGGCTAGAGAATAGAGATGACTGAATGGAATAGGTTGAACTTTCTGTGTGTTTTATAAAAAAATAATATATGGGGTTCTTCAATCACCGCCGTTGATTCTGACTGCATCTCCAAAAGGAAAGGGGAAGAGAAACGAGAAAAGAGGGAGTGGAATCTCTTTTGGAGATGCAGTCAGAATCAACGGCGGTGATTGAAGAATCCCATATATTTTTTTTATAAAACACACAGAAAGTTCAACCTGTAACATCCTAGACCGGCCGGTCATTAAATTTACCAAAATGCCCTTGAGAATAAATCATTTGTCTTGAAAAAGAATTGATAAACAACGGAAAATCATCCATAACCAAAATCCGAATCTCAAACAGAAATAATCCTTGTCAAATCAACACAAACGAGCATCTGTCTCAAGTCTACTAAAAGGAAATTCATTAAGTAAAAGGTGCCCTTGGTGAAACTTTTTCGGCCACTAACCCTTCTGATGACATTCTGAGCAGCAATGGTGTCCCAGCGGTTGGTCTGTACGTTCCTGCTCCCTAGTAGCTCCTGAGTGCGGGTGTGGGGTCAGTCCTAGGTGCAGTTTATCTTAAAAATAACGTGATAACAACTCAACGACTTAGGAGAAACGAAAACAAAGAGCTAGAATACGCGTGATCAAGAAATCTCATTTAACTTGCTTAAAAAGGGGCCCCGAACTCAACCTAACTAGCGCCACTGTTCGACCACCTAAACGTGATAAACTTGATAAACTTGATAAACTTCCTCACAATGGGAAGGGAACCTGATAAGATTGATACCCTGATAAACCTGATAAACTTCCTCACTATGGGAAGAAAGATGGTCGTGTGCGCAGCCAGTTAGTTGAGTTTTAAAACATGATCTTGCTTGTTAACGTGCAACCATGATAGCTTGAAACTTAAACATGGAAAACCAGTAAAACATCCATAATCGAAAGCATAGAGAAGCATACACATAACTTGAAAATTAAATCTAGCCCCCTTTAACCACGCACCTTAATTACTTAAGTCGGAACTCGGAAAACAACCCCAGGTAGGTGCTCCAAACGGGCCTTTGTGAACCTATGGTGGAATCCGATGTTAGATCGGTTGGATTCTCGGGTCCTAGCGACGGTTTCTTGACTTGCGATTACTTTACAACATTTGCAAAGTAAGAGTTTGCTGATTTATTATTAACTTGGGTTTCTAATTCTCAAAATCTTTCAACGTATTATTAGAATAAGTTGTCTCCATCTCTAAGAGTCATTTACCAATTAATTATCTTAAGGACTTTGCTAACTAAAGGTTTAAAGTAGGTTACAGAGCATACAATAATTCTCTCCACCTTTACCAATCCACTAAACCTCTTAATTCAAACCGATTAAAGAAACTTACGTATATTAATGTTTATTAGGGAAAACAAATGAACGACTCTTTGGTTAATTTACCTATCTTAAATCAAGGACTAAATAAGATATAAAATGAATCAATTAATCATAATCTCAACTTATAGATGAAATCCATTATTTTACCTTCGAAGATCTAGATAAATAATTCTCCCTAATTATAAGCAATTTATTCACATAATCTAATTTCAAAGAAGCTCATCCTCAACGTTTATAAAACTTTGAACTCTTACTGCCAGACCCTAAAGTTTAGGGCTGAGCCAAATCCATTTGAATCTGTGAGGACCAAACTAAAAATTTCCAGCACACTTTAGCGACGACTTCTGTTCCGTCGCTACAGGGCTGTAAACCGTCGCTAAAGACCCTGCATATGCATATGCATATATATACCTATGTTAACGTCGAATTTTAACGCAAGGTTCGCGTTCTCTTACCTCAATCACGAGCTTAGAGTATTATTTGAGGATTCCCTTCCGTCAATTCCCCGTCGTCGTTCTTCCTTGAGCTCCCGCAATCCCGCCGCCGACACTTGAGTTCATGAACGTATACGAGTTGTGTTAGTTTAGCGATGCATTGAACTCGGGATTGGAAGGGTTCTTGGATCCTTACCTATGGACGAGAGGGGAAGATCCTCGGCTACCGTTTCCCGCCAACAGAAGCAACGACGTACGAGGAACGGGGTGCGTTCGGCTTGGCGTCGCTCCTGGCTTGCGTCTTTGCCGGCTGCCGTTCCGTTTGGGAGCTTGCTTCCTACTGGTCGGAGGGAGGAGTGGTACAGAGGGAGGTGAGGTCGGAGATGGGGACTCGGGGGTGACGTTGGGGTTCAATCGTGCAAGGGGGAAGAAGGTTGTTGCGGCTGTGTTCTCCCTTTAGTTTTAGGTTACGATTAATATATATATGTGCCGAAGGATAAAAGCGGCCGAGCAGGTGTAGGGTTAGCATAGGTTTAGTTTATTTCAAGGGTACTTTGGGAATTGCAGGGTTATTAGGGTATCGGGTGTGACATTTCCCTCCCCCTTAAGAAAATTTCGTCCTCGAAATTGAGGTTATAATATCGAATATAAGGATATCTGAATGTCCGCTCTTATTACCGCCGAAAGATAACACGCTAATGAAATCTACCGATTACAAGGGTATATCAAGAAACAACTCTGGGTAATTCTTCCTCATATCCTCCTCGATCTCCCAGGTAGCTGCTTCTGTGCCTTGATTTCTCCACACCACTTTTACCATAGGAATCTTCTTCCGACGTAGTTCTTTATCCTGGCGGTCAATAATCCCAACTGGCTCCTCAGTATAGGTCAGATCACTGTCTAGTTGGATATCCTCCAACCTAACAATGTGGGTGGGATCTGATCTGTACCCCTTGAGCATGCTAACGTGGAAGACATTATGGATCTTGGACAGGTTGGGAGGTAGTGCCAATCTATAGGCCAAAGGGCCCACTCGCTCCAGCACTTCATATGGCCCGATGTATCTAGGGCTCAACTTGCCCTTCTTGCCAAATGGCATAACTCCCTTCCATGGAGACACCTTCAGGAAAACCTTGTCTCCTACTGCATGAGTTCGCTCTTCCCTTGGCTTATCTGCATAACTCTTCTGCCGATCCTGGGCGATTTTCATGTTTTCCCTTATCTGTTTCACTTTGTCCACTGTGTCTTGTACCAATTCTGGACCTTCTATCTGGCGCAACCCTTCCTCATCCCAGTACAAAGGGGATCTACACTTCCTTCCATACAATACCTCATATGGTGCCACCTTCAGAGAGCTGTGGTAATGGTTATTATAAGCAAACTCCAGTAGAGGGAGGTACTTATCCCATGATCCCTTCATCTGCAACGTGCAAGCTCTCAATAGATCCTCCAATGTCTGGATCGTCCTCTCGGTTTGCCCGTCAGTCTGAGGGTGATAGGCAGTAGAGAAATGGAGCTTGGTCCCCAAAGCCTTGTGGAGGCTTTTCCAGAACTGCCCGGTGAAGCTAGGGTCACGATCTGACACAATGGTTAGAGGGACTCCATGTAGTCGTACTACCTCTTGGATGTACAAGTCCGCCAATGCATCCACCCCTGGCTTGAACTTGATGGGGATGAAGTGGGCGGATTTAGTGAGGCGGTCTATAATTACCCAAACTCCGTCATTCCCCCACTCTGTCCTCGGCAACCCATAAACAAAATCCATAGTGATGTGCTCCCACTTCCACTCCGGTACATCAAGTGGCTTTAACTTCCCTGCGGGGGCCTGATGTTCTGCCTTCACCATCTGGCAAGTCAAACACTTATGCACATACTCAGCTGCCTCTTTCTTCATATTGGGCCACCAGAAATGCTCATGCAAGGTCCGATACATCTTGGTTGACCCCGGGTGCATGGCGTAAGGTGCACAATGAGCTTCATCCAATATCTCTTGCCTTAAATTCTCCAGGTTAGGAACACAAGCTCTACCTTCGAAGCGGAGCATCCCATCCACCATTTCAAACTTGGTATCCTTCCCATCTTGCACCTCCTGAATGTACTTGGCCAGAACGGGATCGTCATTCTGCTTCTCCTTGATTCGGTCATGCAACAATGGTCTAATCCTCAAATTCGCCATCATGCTAGTAGCATCCTCCAGTCGTAGCTCCGCATTCATAGACCTGAGTGCCACAAGCTCCTGTAATGGGCTATGCTCCTTCCTACTTAGTGCATCTGCTACCACATTGGCCTTTCCAGGGTGGTATTCAATGGTGCAATCATAGTCACCCAACAATTCCATCCATCTTCTCTGTCTCATATTCAATTCCTTTTGATCTCTTAGGTGCTTCAAACTCTTGTGATCTGTGAAGATCTTAAAAGTTTCACCATAGAGATAATGTCTCCACAACTTCAAAGCAAACACTACTGCAGCTAACTCCAGATCATGCGTCGGATAGTTCACCTCGTGTGATCGTAATTGCCTTGAAGCATAAGCAATTACCTTCTTGTTTTGCATAAGAACACATCCCAACCCTTTGTATGAAGCATCACTGTATATGGCATATTCTCCCTCGCTTGATGGTAATGCTAGTACCGGTGCAGTAGTAAGCTTTCTCTTAAGCTCATCAAACGCTCCTTGGCACTCCTTACTCCAGGTATAAGTCACTCCCTTGCGTAGTAACTGGGTTAAAGGTCTGGCGATGCTTGAGAAGCCCTCTACAAACCTTCTGTAGTACCCAGCCATGCCTAGAAAGCTTCTTAACTCCGGGACGTTCTTTGGAGGCACCCAGTTCACCACTGCCTCTATCTTTTTGGGGTCCACTTCCACCCCCTTCCCTGAAACCACATGACCAAGAAACAACACTTCTTTTAGCCAAAATTCACACTTGGAGAACTTTGCGTACTTCTCCTCTCTCAACTTCTGCAACGTGATTCTTAAGTTCTCCTTGTGCTCATCTTGGCTCTTTGAGTAAATGAGGATTTCATCGATGAACACGATGACAAACTTGTCCAAATACTCGTGGAATACGCTGTTCATGAGTGCCATAAAAGCCGCTGGTGCATTGGTCAACCCAAAAGGCATAACCAGGAACTCATAGTGTCCATACCGAGTACGAAAAGCTGTCTTCGGGATGGAGGATTCTGCCACTTGCAACTGATGATATCCCGACCTTAGGTCAATCTTTGAGAACACAGAAGCACCCTGCAGTTGATCGAACAAGTCATCTATCCTGGGCAATGGATAACGATTCTTCACTGTTGCCTTGTTCA